TAAAATAAGGGAGGTTGGACTTTGCATTAAATTACCTGAATTTTACTTTTCGCAGGTTTCTATATCAGAATTGTGAAGTGTTATGTATCTGCATTTTATCAAGACATTTGGCATACCTTTTAGATTACCCTCTTTAGACAGAAATGGTAAAGGGTGACACCACTCTGGTGAATTTGTAACTTGGGGGTTACTGATGAGATGACAGAAGATTGTTTCCTTAGTGTGGTCTTTTTCAGCATGTTTAGCATTGCCATTGATGAGGATATTGATAGCTTGCTGATCAAATAAGGAATATGTTGGGTAACAGATCAGGATAAACCATGATGCCAGCAGGCTTCGACTAAAAGCCAAATATGACAGGGTGAAGCACCATGGTTTCCTCTAGTGCACTCTTCTTGTAGGGCCAAAAGGCAACACCACACAAGGGTAGGGGACAGGGGCTTCTTCACATCTTGTCTCCATTGCTTTATGTGTGACATGTGGCCCTACATTTCAAAAAGTATAAAATTATATTATGATTTTTCTCTTTCTCCTCTAGTCACGCTGCTTTATTTCCTGAAGGCAACCAGTATTGTTAGGTTTTTAAAGTGATCTTTCTACAAAAATTTTATGCTGATGTAATCAAATTATGCGTACATATATTTTTCTCTCTCCTTTCCCATTTTATACAAATGTGAATATATTAATCATACTGTTTTGTACCTTGTTCTTTTTTTTTCTCATAACAATTTTTGTTGGAGCTTTTCTCATATCTGGATGATCATTTCCTTTTAAATGGCTGCATGATATTATTTTGTATGGATATGCCATAGTTTAGGTAGCAGGTCTTCTGCTGATAGACACTTTGCCTGTTTTCAGACATTATTAGAAGCAGTGCTGTGATCTATAACTGCTCAATACTGTAGTTTTACCTGTGGGATTAATTCTTAGGAGTTCTATTGCTAGCTAGGTCAAAGGGAAAGTCCTCTTTCTAGTGTCAGTATTGTCATCTTGTTTTGTGTACTCTTAGGGAAAAAGATAGAATTTAATAGCCAAAAAGGGATTTAGGTACCATCAGAACCATTCAGTGATTCTCCAAACGTGGTCCTTGGGCTACAACCAGCAGCAGCATCCCTTAGGAGCTGATTAGAAGTGCAAATTTGTGGGGTCCACCCCAGCCAGACCTCCTGAATCAGAGCCTCTGTGGAGGCTAGCAATCTGTGCTGATACTTCCTGTAGTGCGGAAATTAGGATTAGAGAGATGAAGTCACTTGTCAAAGATTACATAGCTACTGGTGGCTTCTGTTATATTTCCACTATAACTTGCTATTTTTCTTATCTTGTTTTAATTGTCTCTTTTAAACAGATGTTTTGGTTTTAAAGATGCCAATATTAAAAATAGGTCATTGATTCAATTCTTTATCTTTTTCATTTATGCTTCTCAATGCTTATGTTTTTTGGAACAGAAAATTCAAATGAATACTATTTTGAAATTTTTATAACGACTTTTTAGAATCAGCTGGCTTTCTTAAACCAAACCTTAAATTGACTCCCTGTTAGTCTGTTTTCTCAGGGCGGGACTTCCGACTTCTTTTTCAGATTCCTTTTCAATCATGTCCCACCATTCCTCCTCTGTATAGAATTTCCAAACTACATCCTGCTCTTAACTACATCTGTTCCTTCTTCATGCTTTTTTCTCAGTTTCTTTTTTCTTCTGCTGAAACTTATTTGCTTTTTTTTTGCATTCTGTTTTATCTTAAAGTGATACATAATTATAAGTATTTATAGGGCACAGTGTAATGTTTTGATACCTGTATGCAATGTTTAATGATCAAATCAGGGTAATTAACAAATCCACTACCTCAAACATTTATCATTTCTCTATGACTTTAAGAACATTAGAAACTCTTCTAGCTATTTTGAGATACACAGTACATTATTTTTAACTAACTATATTCATCCTACTGTGCAGTAGAGCCCCAGAACTTAGTCTTCCTAACTGTAACTTCGTACCTTTTGACTAGCCTCTCCCCATCCCTCCCTACTCTACCCAGACTCTGTTAAGTCATTATTCTACTCTCTACTTCTGTGAGGTCAGTTTTTTTAGATTACACATATGAACGAGATCATGTGATATTTGTCTTTCTGTCTTTGGCTTATTTCACTTAACATAATGTCCCGACAGGATTTCATTCTTTTTATAATGGAATAGCGTGTGTGTGTGTGTGTGTGTGTGATGCTTTCTTTATCCATTAATTTGTTGATGGACACTTAGGTTGATTTCATATCTTGGTTATTGTTAGTAATGCTGCAGTAAATTCTATTTGTAATATTTTGAGAAATATTCATACTGTTTTTCATAATAGCTGTATTAGCATTAACAGTATCTAAAGGCTTCCTTTTCTCCACATCCTTGCCAACACTTGTTATCTGTTATATTTTATCATTATCTATTGATAGTGAGGTGATATCTCATTGTGATTCTGATTTGCATTTTCCTGATGATTAGTGATGTTGAACGTTTTTTTATATGTTGGCCATTTGTATGTTTTCTTTTGAGAGCAAATCTGGGAGCATCATACTATCTGACTGCCGAATATACTATAAACCATAGTGATCAAACTAGCATGGTACTATGTCATAAAAGCAGATGCATAGGCCAGGAGAACAGAATAGATAACCCAGAAATAGATATATGCATCCACAGACAACTAATTTTCGAAAGTGATGCCAAAAGTGCACACTAGGGAAATGGAAGTCTCTTCAGTGAATGGTGCTGGGAAAATTGGATATCCACATGCAGAGGAATGAGACTAGACTTCTATCTCTCACCACGTAGAAAAATACCTCAAAATGGATTAAAGACTTAAATGTAAGACTCAAAACTATGAAACATCAGAAGAAAACATGGAAATGCTTCTTGACATTGGTCTAGAAAAGGATTTTTTAAAAAATAAAATCTCAAAATCACAGGCAATAAATGCAAAAATAGAAAATGGGATTGCATCAAAGTAAAAACCTTCTTCACAACAAAGGAAATGATCAACAGGGTGAAGAGACAGCCTACAGGGTGGGAGAAAATATTTGCAAATCATTTATCTGTTAAGAGTTGAAAATATCTAGAATATGTAAGGAACTTAATAGCAAAAACCAAATAATCTGATTTTAAAATGGGCAAAGAACCCTATTTTCATATGTTCTTGTCTTAAAACATTTGCATATTCCAATTGAAGGAATTACTACCTTTTAGCTTTCTTATGTCAATTTGTTTTTATTTCTTCTCTATGTGTGTATCTGTAGTTTATTCATGTGCTTTCATATCAGTCTCTTTCTAGTGTATATACTCCTTGAAGGCAAGGACCATGTTTTATTCAGTGTCACTCCAGACTCCTTGCACCATTCTCTGTACTTACTAGTTGGTAGATAAATGCTGGTTATGTTTATTCTCATGCACGAATCAGTGGGAATCAGTGGAATAGAGAACACATGGCTATAGTCTACATCTGCATCTCACACCATCTTATAAATAAGTGATTGGACTATGTGGAATTGTGAGCATGAATAGGGATGAGTCAGCTCAAACCCCTCAGCTGAAATTTGCAGCTGAAAAATAAGCCAATCCACAATCAGTAAAACTATGTTTTGGTCCTGTTATGTGCTAGGCATACAGTTGTATGTTAAGGATGATGTGTTTGTAGTATCATTTTCATACAGAAAGGATAGTGTGTTTTTACTATTGATATTATTTTATACCTGTGTATGTTTAAATTATGTGCATTGTTTCTTTGTGAACTTGAAACTTAGAATTACGGTATCAGGGTTTTCTTATAAAATTTTTGTCACTATTTTGTATTTACTTTGTTGTGCTGTATATTCAAATAACACATCTAAGTGTTTACTGTTGATGAAACTTAATCTAATAAAGTAAAATGTTATGTTATCTTAACATACTTGTCAAAGAAGAATATATATGCTCTACTGTGTGATAAAATAACATTTTTATCAATTTAATTTTAATTTTTCCTTAAGCCATCATAATTTTATACTTGGAACAAAGTATTTGCTATTTTCAGATCAACAGTTTCAACCTTATTGTAACATTTAAGCTTACAAATTTGATGTCATACCAACTATTTTGTCATTGTCCTGTGAATCACTCAAAAGCCAGTTCAGACTCAGCTCAGAAGTTGCCTTTTGATCTTGTTCTTAAGCCACTATTTATTTGACCTAACACATCTATCTATCTATCTATCTATCTATCTATCTATCTATCTATCGCCCCATCGATCGATCGATCTCATCTATCTATCTATCTATCTATCTATCTATCTATCTAATATATTTAATTTTTTGAGTCAGGGTCTCACTCTGTTGTCCAGGTATGGAATGCTTTGGAACAATCACAGCTTACTGCAGCCTCAAACTCCTAGAGTCAAGCAGTCCTCCTGCCTCAGCCTCCCGAGTAGCTGGGACTACAGGCACACACCACGATGCCTGGCTGATTTTTTTTTTTTTTTTTTTTTTTGTAGACTCAGGGTCTTGCTATGTATGTTTCCCATGCTGATCTTGAACTCCTGGGCTCAAGCAGTCCTCCCTTCTCAGCCTCCCAAAGTGCTTGGATTACAGGTGCGAGTCACTGTGCCTAGCTTGACTTCACACATTTTTTTTAGTGTTTGCCATGTGCTAGGCACTGAGAAGGCAGAAAAATGTCATGATTTTTATTTCTTCTCAGGTGTTTATAGTTGGCATGGTAGCTTTTATACAAATGAAACTGAAAATGTTTTGCACTATAACTTTCAAAAGTTCAGAATACAACATGTCTAATTTTTCAGATTTACCTTGCAGCTTTAATTAAGTTCGTCATCAGTGAACTAGAAGTTTATGCTTTGTTCACAATCAATTAGAGATCAGCCTTACTGGACATTTGATAGAGTTATATCTTATCTGTAGTTCTTGTTTCTAGCACTCATTTCTAACCAAAATGTAAATGTGAATTTCTCATTCTTTTTTTTTTTTTTAAGTGAGCATTTGTCCTGCGCTTTCACATTCTTTCTTCATGGAGAAAGTAATGTATGTACAAGTGTGGAGATTGCCCAACACCAGCCAATTTATTTGATCAATGAGGAGCATATACACATGGCTCAGTCTTCTCCTGCACCATTTCAAGGTGAGTGATGGATGTTCCTACTCTCACTGCCCCTCACCCCCACTGAGTGGATAGCCACTGTGGCCAGTGAAGTCTTGCAGGATGAAACATTATCTTTTTAAAAATTGTTTATGATTTTTAAGGTGAGACATCTTAAATGGATATTTAGAAGCTAAGCATAACGGTCAGTGTTTGAAGAAGAAAGGAAAGTAATAGCTTTTTCATTTTTTACTCATGTTTATCACATATATAATATGGTCTCATGTAGTTGTATCGAAGAATAAACAGTAGAGAATTTCTTCCTGAACAAGAGAAAATCAATAAATATTTAAAAAATATAATCCTATGAGTAATTGACAAATCTTATAAATTAAAGTTGTTATTGCTATGTTTGTTAACAAGTTTTCAGCAACATAATGGGTTAGAGAAAATTACTGTATCAAACTTAGTATTTGAGATTTCAACTTAAATCAAATTTCTAAAGTTGTATATAGTTTTTCATTGATTTTAGTATCTTTATTATTTTCTTTTGATTATTGACTACACTGATAAAATACCTGATAATAGATATTTAGTTGTGATTTAACTAATATGTTTCTATTTTTATTAATTTGCAGCTTTAACATCTAGATATTACCAAAATAACTTCATGTCCTTTAGATCTCAGCATTATAAATTTTTTCTTGTCTTTAGAATTCAGAATTTCCTATGAATGCCAGTTTTAAAATGTTATAATAATAGGTTGAACCATATGGGAAAAAAAATTTTTCTTTTTGGTTCATCCTAATATGTCATTACTAGAGCTATCTGGTTTAAATAGTCTATCATGCAGATTATAATTATAATTTTTTATTTTTCTAGAGATAATTTTTGCCCTGTTGCCCAGACTGGAGTGCAGTGGTGTGGTCATAGCTTACTGTAACTCTGATCTCGTGAACTCAAGCTTTCCTCCTGCCTCAATCTCTTGAGTATCTGAGACTATGGGCATGCACCAACATGCCCAGCTAATTTTTTAATTTTTTTTTTGTAGAATTAGGGTCATGCTATGCTGCCTAGGCTGGTCTTAAACTCCTGGCCTCAAGTGATCCTGCCTTTGCCTTGCAAAGTCCTGAGATAACAGATATGAACTACTGCACCCAACTTCAGAATATAATTTTTTTAAACACTGGTATTCTAACAGACTTGACTAAAATATTTTAATTGATGTACTAGCCTTTCATGAATATTTAAGCCTTCATTTTATTTATGAGTTTTTTTTGTTTTCTACACACTATTCTGATTTAATTTGACAAAAGCATCTGTTTCTTGCCCTAAAGATAATAAAGCTTTTATTTTTTTGAGGTAAAAATGAACTTTGAATTCTAATTTAATTGTTTTCTAATTTTTAACTCAAATCTCTCTCCTTAACACATTTTAAGCTGCTTACTTTTCATTCTGTAAAGTGAGTATTTTATATATGAACTTTAAAATTCAAAACAAGCCAGTTCTCAAACTATACATGTACAGGTTGTACAGGTATGTGCATATTATGGATTGTCAGGATTATTTAAATACTGTTTATTTGACTATTAAAGTACTAAGGACCATCTGACATCCTAGATTTTATCACTCAAAATAAAAGCATTTATTTATGATAATAGCTGAAGGAATCACCAGTCATGAGGGAAGAGAACTAACTTTTTAACCTTCAAAGTTGGGAAAGATAATACTAGGAATACCAGGTCCCTACAGACCACTTATTTCAAATCTTTCACTAATGTCTCAGGTCATAGAAGACTTTTGTGGGACATCATCTTGCTTATTTTCTATGATTGGTGTGGAGGAGGTAGATACTTAGGGCAGGTGCTGGCCTGTAGATAATTATGTTCACCATATTGATATGGGGCTTTCCTAGAAGTGTTAATGCAAAGAAAAAAAATTATCCTTGATTAACTTTGTTGGTTGGAGTCAGTATTTTTATCCCATTTGAAACATTGAGGAACAGCAGAAAGACTCCAAGAAACAGGTGTGTTTACAGCTATCTCTCTCTTGATTGATGTGACGTATCATCTAGCTCTTTAAAAGTAATCAACATATAAGGACATCCCATTTAATGACTGTGCTGGGATTTTTTTTTTTAAGATTAGGATTAAGAGAAAAGGTGACATTTAGCCTCAGAAAATATTTGGAAGATTGAAATACTCACCCCAAGGCTAAGAATTGGCTGGGTTATTCACATTATCACATTAACTATATGTGTGTGTCTAACTCAGTGAAAATGACATCAAGGTCAAATACTGAAAAGAGGATAGAGGACTTTGAGTCCTTTACTTTGAGTTAAATAAAATTGCACGTAGATGGCCAGGTGTGGTGGCTCATGCCTATAAGCCCAGTGCTTTGAGAGGCTGAGACAGGAGGATTGGTTAAGGCCAGGTATTCAAGACCAGCCTGGATAACATACAGAGATCCTATCTCTCAAAATATAAAAATGAAAAAATTACTGGGCGTGGTGGTGATCACCTGCAGCCCCAGCTACTTGGTAGACTGCGGTGGGAGGATTGCAATTATAAGGCTGCAGTGAGCTATGATTGTGCCACTGCTCTTTAGCCTGAGTGAGCAAGACTCTTCTCTAAATTTTTTTTTGTTTAACTTAGAATTGTTTGATCAACAGACCACCAAAACCATCATAACTGAATTATAACTAACATTGTGCTTCAAGCTTAGTACACCAGGACTTTTTGTTATTAGAAACTTTATATGCTACTCTTTGATTGCCACAGATGTTTAGAAAATCTCTGGAACCATAGGAAGAGTGTTCTAGACAGGTTTGGGGGTATGTGTACTGAAATTTTTTTCCTGTTTTGGAAGATTCAGTGTTTGCTTTGTATATACTATTATTAAACAGATGTATATATGCTTTAATGTACAAAGTCTTTATATATTGTGTGGTGATGTACCTGTTTAATAATGTAATATTATCCCTGTTTGATTTCCTTCAAAAGTTGATGTAAGTTGAGAGGCATATAAAATAATAAATATTAAAATAGAAACTTTTAAAAATTATACTTTAAGAGAAGTTAGGAAAGAAAGTACAGTACATGTTAAGTGATGCTATTCTATAACCTGGAATTAGCACATATGTATTGTTACACTTAATTAGGAATTATTTCTCTAACATGTAGCATATGTTTCTCCTCCCCTCCGCAGTGCTGGTAAGTCCTTATGGCTTAAATGGCACACTGACAGGCCAAGCATACAAGATGTCAGATCCAGCCACTCGTAAGTTGATCGAGGAATGGCAGTATTTCTACCCGATGGTGCTAAAAAAGAAAGAGGAATCAAAAGAGGAAGAGGAGTTGGGATATGATGATGATTTCCCTGTGGCAGTTGAAGTAATTGTTGGTAAGAGAAAATATTTTGCCCCAAGAAATTTTTTATTATTATTTATCTTCCTTAGTTTAAAAAGGTAATCATTCAGATTCATTAGAAACAATCTCCGTAATTTTCTATCTTTTTTTAAATTCTCTTGATACAGTGGTATATGCTGAGTAGTTATCTTGCCTGAAGCACCAATGGTCCCTGTATTCTAAATGCTTTTATCATCATGTTGGAATACATGTTTAAATAACTATTAACTTACAAACAAAAGAAGTTTATCGTTTTTGGCGGCACTTCAGGAGCATCTTGTTTTCATCATTGAGCTTTGACTTTGACCACTGGAATAATAAAGTTGGCAGTCTTTTGTGAACTCTTTCTTAGGCATACTTCTCTTCTTGCTCTCTTTCCTTCCAGGTGGCGTTCGGATGGTTTATCCTTCAGCTTTTGTTTTGATCTCTCAGAATGACATCCCAGTTCCTCAGAATGTTGCCAGTGCTGGAGGCCACATTACAGTTGGGCAGCAGGGGCTTGGTAGTGTAAAGGACCCCAGTAACTGTGGGATGCCTCTGACCCCTCCCACCTCTCCAGAACAGGCTGTCCTAGGTGAGTACGATCGAAGAGTATTCTGGGTGGAAGCGATCCCAGAAGAATCATGTAGCCAGCCCCCTGCCATGAAACAAGTGAGAAAACATGGAAAAATTCCTGGTAGAAGAGATGGAAGTGGTAGAGTAACTTGTGGATTTTAGAAATTGAAGGAAAATTGCAAGCAAATAGGATTGATGTACTATAGAATTTTAATTGTACCCATATTAATCTTTATTTTGATTGAACAATTTCATTGTTTCTTTTAACTACTTGCCATGATAACTATACATCTGCCCCTTCACCCCTTTACAGAGGAAATAGACAAAACTATAGCAAGGGGGGGGTCTCCCTTTTTTGCCCTGGCTGGCCTCAAACTCCTGGCCTCAAGTGATCCTCCTGCCTTGACCTCTCAAAGTGCTGGGATTATAGGCATAGGCCGCTGCATCCAGCATAGGTTGCTTTATAAAAAGGACTTGGTGGCTCAGCCTGTAATCCCGTGCTTTGGGAGTCTGAGGTGAATGGATTGCCTGAGCCCCTGGGTTCGAGACCTGCCTGGACAACTTGGTGAGACCTCATCTCTACAATAAATCGCCTGGGCTGCGAGACATCATCTCTACAATAAATCAAAAAATCAGCCAGGCGTGGTAGCGCATGCCTGTAATTCAGGCTACTTGAAAGGCTGAGGGGGAAGGATCGCC